TGGGATTATAGGCATGAGCCACCACACCCGGCCTTAAAGTACCAGTTATTTTTACCCAACATCTGTTCCTTTTTCAAAGATGCCCCTTCTTAGGGAACTCCTAATTGTTCTGATGTTTTAACTCCAAGCCATCACTTTTGTGAGCTTCATAGTCCTTTGTAAATATCACCAGGTATGTAAGAAAACATGTGGTACAGTGGAAAGAGTAATGGCCACAAAGGCAGAAGACCTGAACTTGAGACCTGGCAAAGCCATTTAAAGAGTTTTGTGACCTCAGGCAATCATTGAAACTCTCTGAACTTTGGTTGCTTTATTTGTATGATGGAAATATTAATCATAATAACCCCACCTGTCCTATTTACCTTTTAGAAGCTTGTGAGGGCCATAAATTGCACCTTGATGCAATATAAATTGATGTTATAATTTTTGAGTTGTCAATGTAAGAGCTTTATATATTTTTTCTAATAATACTTAAATTTGTCCTCAAGGATTCTTAACTTCAGTTTCAGTGGCTTTTGGTTTTAAATTGCTAAAGCATTACAGAGCCAAATCTTTGGTGTTTTTTTTTTTTTTTTTTTGAGACGGAGTCTCTTTTTTGAGATGGAGTCTTGCTCTGTCGCCCGGGCTAGCATGCAGTGGCATGATCTCGGCTTACTGCAAGCTCCACCTCCCAGGTTCACGTCATTCTCCTGCCTCAGCCTTCCAAGTAGCTGGGATTACAGGCATGCACCACCACACCCTGCTAATTTGTATTTTTAGTAGAGACAGGGTTTCTCCATGTTGGTCAAGCTAGCCTCGAACTCCCAGCCTCAGGTGATCCTCCTGCCTTGGCCTCCCAAAGTGCTGGGATTACAGGCGTGAGCCACCACACCTGGTGAGTGTGTTTTATCTTGAAATCCCTTTCAGAATAGAAATAAAGTGCTGGGATTACAGGAGTGAGCCACCACGCCCAGCCTAAAGTTTCTTTTTGATTTAATCTTCTCTCTTAAAGCTCATAGGGCTGGCTAAAATTGCTCATTGTATTTCTGAATTTCCATTCCCCAACAACGCCTCATTTTACATTTTTCTTTACACAATTTTTGGAATCCTTTTTCTTTTCACTCAGTTCTCCTCTTCCCCAACCAAAATGTCTTTTGCTCGGATTAAACTCATTTACTGGCCGGGCATGATGGCTCACGCCTGTGATCCTAACACTTTGGGAGGCCGAGGCGGGCGGATCACGAGCTCAGGAAATCGAGACCATCCTGGCTAACATGGTAAAACCCCATCTCTACTAAAAATACAAAAAAATTAGCCGGGCGAGGTGGCGGGCGCCTGTAGTCCCAGCTATTTGGGAGGCTGAGGCAGGAGAATGGCGTGAACCCTGGAGGCAGAGCTTGTAGTGAGCTGAGATCGCACCACTGCACTCCAGCCTGGGCAATAAAGTGAGACTCCCTCTCAAAAAAATCAAACAAACAAACAAATAAACTCATTTACCAAAGGAACGAATACATGATTATTCCCCAGAGGCAGTTTTATTTGAAAAGAAAAACTTCTTAATGAATCTCTAATTGGCCAAATTTCAGGTAATCTAACAATCCTAGATTTCAGGACTTTCTTATATCTCTTAAAACATATTCCTAGGTAATTGTCTAGTACGGGTGGTTTTTCAAACATTTAAAAGCCATTGAATTCTTGCTTCAAATAAAATTAGGCAGTAGCCGAGTGAGTAGAAGAGATAAAGGGCTAAAGTACTTGGCTAAATGGGGATGGGGGCCCAGGACCCTCCCCACTCACCTCTGCTTCTCTTCACCAGCCACCACTGTGGAACAACTCCAGTAAGAGGCCAGCCCATATTTGCACCCAAATGCACACACCTACGGGGAAAGAATGGATGATACACAAGTAGAGAGCCCATTCTTGGGCGTCCAAAAGGAGCCTGTAGATGTCTGTTGCCATAATAAATCACATTCACATTTTTTAAAACACTTTGAGAATGTGGCAAAACAAGAAGTGAATGGAGTGAGAAATCTCAGGTTTAGAACTTTGGTGTGAGATGTGGTTATGTTCTGAAACAAATATGGTCAACTAAGTGTATTCTTGAGGCCAACCTGTCTATTATTAGCTCCTTTTGGAGAATTGGTTTTCCCCCAATGTGGGTTTTCCCTTCCTCAAACTTTAAATTTCATCCAACTACCAAAATAATTTTCTCCTTTGAAACAAGAGTTCCAGGGGTATTTTCCTAGTAAAGTACAATGTGGAAGATGGCCTCCAGAAAGACCATGCTGTTCCTCTTTTTGTTGATCTCTAGGTCTGTGTTTCTTTTTTTTTTTTTTTTTTTTTTTTTTTGAGACGGAGTCTCGCTGTGTCTCCCAGGCTGGAGTGCAGTGGCGTGATCTCGGCTCACTGCAAGCTCCGCCTCCCGGGTTCATGCCATTCTCCCGCCTCAGCCTCCCGAGTAGCTGAGACTACAGGCGCCTGCCACCACGCCCGGCTAGTTTTTTGTATTTTTAGTAGAGACGGGGTTTCACCGTGTTAGCCAGGATAGTCTCGATCTCCTGACCTCGTGATCCACCCGCCTCGGCCTCCCAAAGTGCTGGGATTACAGGCTTGAGCCACCGCGCCCGGCCAGGTCTGTGTTTCTTACCCTGCAGGTACCTCACACCCAACAGCACCTAAACAGACTCTTAGAACTTCCCTCAAAGCTTGTCCCTCCTCTAGGTTATCCTATCCAGTCACAAAGTTAAAAGTCACCATAAAGACAGCAACCATTAAATTACTGGGGCTCTAAGTTAGGCATATCATGAAGATCAGGATTTTTCAATTTCAACAGTACTGACACTTGGGGCAGGATAACTCTTTGTCGCGTGGGCCTATTCTGTGCATTGTAGGATGTTTAGCAGCATCCCTGGCCTTTACACACTAGATGCTAGCAGCACCTACCCACTTTGAGGCTATACAATCAAAAATATCTCCAGGCATTGCCAGATGTCTGCTAGAGGAAAAATCAACTCCATTTGAGAACCACTGATGTGTATGATCTCTATTCCTCACAATACCCACATGGGGCAGAGGAGGAAACTGGACCTCTGAGGAATTAAGGGACTTGGCCTTGGTTGTGTGACCAGTATATGGCAGAGCTGGTCTCAAAGTACTATAAAAGCCATCTCCCCTTCTCTCTGCTGCCTTCCAGTACCCAATTCTCTCTTTCTTCTAGTTTTTATCTATGCTAATCTCTCATGTGACGTGCCTTTCATGTTTTATTTATTTGTTTTGTAGAGATGAGGTCTTACCATGCTGCCCAGGCTGACCTTAAACTCCTGGCCTCAGGTGATCCTCCTGCCTCAGTCTCCAGACGTGCTGGGATTACAGGCATGAGCAACTAACCCTGGCCCATGTGAAATGTCTTAATTTTGCTCCCTGCTTTCTGGATTGCCTTAGCTCAGATCTGTATTTCTTACCTAGCCATAACTAGGTTCTGAATTTATCTTCCCAATTTCAGTCTCTTCATCTTTCAATCTCCGTTTCACATTGTTAGAGCTAACTTTGTGAAACAGATATTATTAGTGTAACTGCCTTATTGAAAAACTTTCTGTGCCTTCCACATTGCCTACAACAGTGGTTCCCAAAGGATGATCCTGAGACTGGCATCATTGGTATTACCTGGCAATTTGTTAGAACTGCAAATCCTTGGGCCCCATCCCAGACCTGAATCAGAAACTATTTCTTTCTTTTTTTTTTTTTTTTTTTTTTGAGACAGAGTCTGTCTCTGTCACCCAGGTAGAGGCGGGGTTTCACCATGTTGGCCAGGCTGGTCTTCAACTCCTGACCTCAGGTGATCCTCCTGCCTTGGCCTCCAAAAGTACTGGAATTACAGGAGTGAGCCACTGCACCTGGCCATAAATCTGTTTTAACACACCCTCCTCCAAGTGGTTCTGATGCTTACTTTGTGAAACTCTGGCCTAGTCTACAAAACCCCAGTGTCTTAGGATGGCATAGAAACCCTGACTGCCTTTCCCACCATGTTCCTTGTCATTATTTTCTCCTCTCCCACCCTTGCCTACACTTCAATTTCATTCTTTCGTTAGCTATCAAACCTGCATTTGTCTGTTTGTTCTAAGCACCAATAATAAAAGCAAGACAGTCCAGCTCCTAAGTGCCTTGCTGACCTAGGGCTGGGGTGCTCCAGCCACATGACAAGCCCTGGAATTAAGTACACACCATGTCATTTTAAGTGACAAGCCTCTGCCGTAGCATCTTCTTCTTCCTGGTGAATTCCTATGTCTTTGGTGGCTCATTCTCAAATGTCCCTGTTCCTGAATTACTCAGAGGGCTAATCCCTAGTTTCCCTGTGCCTCCACAGCTGCCTGTCATTTCATTTATCCCAAAGTGGCATTCCCATTTGTTTACCTGTCTACTAGGATACTCCTAGAATGCAGGTAATGTGAGGGAGGAGCCTTCACTCATCTTTGTGTAGATGGCATTGTGACCCTGGTGACCAACCCTGGCACACATCAGAACCATCTGGGAGCTTTTCAAAAATATGAATGCCAGAGCTCACCCCTGGACCTACAGAAACTGAGCCTTACAAATCCATATTTTAAAATGTCCCCACATCACCACTGCACACTGTTCTGCACAGAGCAGGTATTTTTTTTTTTTTTTTTTTTAACAGTTCTCGAATGTCTAGTCAATTACTTAGCAAGGCTGCCCGGAGAATCACGTCTACCTTAGCTTACTTCTCCAGCTTTGTGGGGTTTGGTTTTCTTTTGATTTCAGTTTCCATTTCCTCTAACTTGAAAGTATGTGCCTTGGTAACAGCCACACCGCAGTCATTACTGATAAAAGGCGACATTTTGTTGAGATGATTTTAGTTATTGACCCAATCTCTGGTATTTTGAGGTTAATATGTTTTTTACAGTCTCAAATATCCAGCGGTCCTCAAATTAGAGTTGCCTGTTAAACAGTTTCTCAAGTATCTTTCAGGATTGTAGTCACTTTGCGGGCTAATCGCTCACCAGGTGTCCGTGGCTGATCCCAGTTATTCTGATTAACCTCTAAGGTGATTGTGAGGCCTTAAACCCTCTCACCTGTAGCCAATCAAGCCAGCTCAAGTCAACATCCCGGGCTGTGAACCCGCGATAAGGTCGGAGGGGGCCTCAGTGGAGAATAGATGGGGAAGTTCTCTGGGGCGGGCGCAGTTTGCCGCTGATTCTGAGAAACCGAAACTCAGCTGTTAAAACCGCTGCCTCTGCACTTTGGAATCCCGTCCGGAGACTCGCTAAGCGTCCCAGCCGCATCCCTCCCGCAGCGACGGCGGCCCGGGACCCGCGGGCTGTGAACCATGTACACACGCAGCAGAGTGGTGAGCTCCGGGCTCGGCGCCTCCCCTGCCTCCCGCCCGACCCGGGACCCCCGGGGCCCTTACGGGCGGCACGGGGAGCTGGGCCCGCTGGAAGACCAGAGACAGGGTTTGCCGGCAGCCCCTGAGAGCCCTTCGCGGGAGAGCATCGTGCACGCTGGCCAGAGACAGTGAGTATTTTAACAACCTGGTTTCGGGGCGGGAGCCCGGGCCCCAAACATACAAGCACCTTCTTGGTCCTTGGAGTTTGAAGCTACAGGGGCCCAACAACAGGGATTTTGACCGAATGAAAGCTCATTTGCTTAAATGAAAGCATCCATGCCTTACCTTATAAATAGAGTTTGCTAGTTTGCAGTCCAAATAACCAGCCCGGTTCCTTCTAGGAACACTACTTTTCTGACTTTTGTGACTGGCCACGGGGTTGAATGATGTGGGTGTGTAGGAACTGCCTAGGCATCCAGTAAGATGTCATTTTCTAGGTATCTCCAGAGCTCATACTCCAACCAGTATGGAAATAATTTTTCCTTTACTGTTTTTTAAAAACTTGGTGCCCGACCAGGCGCGTTGGCTCAAGCCTGTAATCCCAGCACTTTGCGGGGCCAAGGCAAGCAGATCACCTGAGGTCAGGAGTTTGAAACCAGCCTGGCCAACATGGTGAAACCCTGTCTTTACTAAAGATAAAATAATAAACTGGGTGTGATGGCACGCGCCTGTAGTCCTGGCTACTTGGGAGGCTAAGGTAGGAGAATCGCTTGAACCAGGGAGACGGAGGTTGCAGTGAGCCGAAATCTCACCGTTGCACTCCAGCCTGGGCAAGAGAGCGAGACTCTGTCTCAACACAAAACAAAACAAAAAAACAAAACTTGGTGCCCTAAATGGAATTACTATATCAGACACTAACAGGTAAGGGTCAACAAGAAATGTGATATGGGGTAGAAGATTCAAATTCTGCCTCTAGGTAGGAGCAAGCCTGTGTCCCAGCAAGACTCCCAGGTAAACTAACCTCTTACAACCAGAGGAGTGGAGCTGAGTGAGTGAGGAGGTGAGTGACCGTAGTAACTCTTGTCCCTGATGTTGATACGTGCTCTATGCAAGAACAGATAGGTAGCATTTATTCCTGGTCTTTGGTTCGGGGACTGCAGTGAGTATCCGGGAAACATTTATTATGCAAGTGTCATAAGCCTCTCTTTCCAGCCAAAGGAATGAACTTCTTTAACTCAGCAGTATGGTTTATCACAACATCACTGCCTTTGAAGTGCTGCCTCTGTGAATTGGAACTGTCCAAATGGTTTTATTTTTAGTGTCTCCTTTTTCATCGACTTCTAGTCCTATGAAAGACAAACCCTGGTTGCTAAGAAACAGTATGTAACCTTATGGCCGATAAACAGTAGATTTTCTTTCATCCCTTAGCTTTTGAAAGTACCAGGCCTTTAATATTATTCAGCTTAGGTTTACCCTTAGATGGGGTGGATAATCTGGAAATCAATTAGAGATTGTTTCATTTCTTTCCTCCTCAGAATAATTGGTGTCTTGCCACGATAGAAGCAGCCCATTACTTTCAAGTAACCCGCATATCTACAAGCTATAGTACTTAACAGTAACAAAGGTCATAGACATATGGTCTCATGTCCGTGAATAGTTAATGATGAACATGATTTGCTTTACTTTTTTCTGTTAAAAAGCATTTATTTAGATATAACCATTTATTTTCAAGCTCATATCACATAAGTGTTAACTGTTGCATCTATTTTCTTATTTGGTTGTAATTACCCCAGAATCTTGCTAGACCAGACTGCTCAGAAATAGGCAGTTTTCGGATGGGTTATCCAGGCCTTAATACCCTGAAGACCTCATTGCACACTGTTTTGCAATTCCTAAAAAGATTTTCAAATAAACCATTAAAAAATACCAGGAAGTGTTTAGTTATCTCTCACTGAGTCTTCCTTTTTTTTTTTTTTCCCCACATAAACCAGTTGCAGTAAGTACAGAATTATATATTCCCTTTTAGGGGTTTGATGTCTGAGATCCTGTTGGGACAACTTTGAATTTTTGTTGCATCTCCATTAGTTACTTAGATTCACTTTCTCACTTGTTTCCTTTAATGGAGTTGGAAAACCAAGGAAAATGATTGGCACATATCTCAGTAGAATTAGCTGCCCACCCCCTGCCCCAAAATAAAGAAGTCTTTATTTATTTTGGGGATAAAAAATTAGAAACACTTTCTGATTTAAAAAAATAAAGAGGCTGGGCGTGGTGGCTCACGCCTGTAATCCCAGCACTTTGGGGGCTGAGGCGGGCAGATCACGAGGTCAGGAGATTGAGACCATCCTGGCGAACACGTTGAAACCCCGTGTCTTCTAAAAATACAAACAATTAGCCGGGTGTGGTGGTGGGCGCCTGTAGTCCCAGCTACTTGAGAGGCTGAGACAGGAGAATGGCGTGAACCCAGGAGGCGGAGCTTGCAGTGAGCCAAGATCGTGCCACTGCACTCCAGCCTGGGCAACAGAGCAAGACTCTGTCTCAAAAACAAAACAAAACAACAAAAAAAAAGAGGATAGAGTTAAGTGCTTTAATAGTACAGCTTCATTTGTCTACTCATAATGTGAATTTATTTATATGGTAGAAGATTTGTCTTGTTTTGTGTGCATCTGTTATGCCCAGACTGTTTGTTCCCCAAAGAAGACCACCAGAGTCCAGAGTCAAAGCCAAGCGGCAAGGATCTTTACTACAAGTTCGAACTTGGTCCCTCCTTTACACAGTATACAAGAGGGCCCCGAACAATGCGAGCGTTTGCTTTTTATAGCCCGAAAGTTGTAGGGGAACAAAGAAATTCTTTTGGCTCCTGCGCTTTCAGTAACCTTGAACGGCTGTCTCCTTATCGGAGACTTTCCAGGTGGTGTTTGTACTGAGCTCAGGGAGTTTGAGAGATATATGGTGGTGGGATGGGAGGATGGGATGTGCTTGTGCTAGGCTCAGGGAGTTTTGAGCCCGGGGCTGAGGAATGTGCCCAGCTCCTTTCATTCCCCCCTTCTTTTCAGGTATCTTTAGAGCCAATCTTGGGTCTTATAGATCTGATTCTGTTTCAGCGTTTACAGGTTGGTATTGGGCTCTGAGGACCATGAGTTGTACGGTGTCAAATCTCTCCCTAACAAATTGTAAAATTCTGTTAACAACACAAGGTCCTACGGTAAGCAGAAATAGTAGACTTAGCAGGGGTCCAAGGAAGGGGGCTAACAGAGAAAACATAGAGGAATTCCACTATTGGTCTGCAGCTGAAGCAAACTGCCGTGTTTTTACTTCAGTGCTTAATTTGCGTAACTGTTGGACCCGGTCCTCTACAAGTCCTGATTCATTTATGTAGAAACAACAGTCTTCTTTTAGAAATATACATGTACCACCTTTTTCTGCAGTGAGTAGGTCTAGGGCCGTCCGGTTTTGCAAGGTTACCTGAGCTAGGGACGTGAGCTGCCGCTGAAGGGAGGCAAGGGACTCAGCCGACTCCTCCATAGCAACGGCAAATTGTTGGTATAACTTGTTACTTTCTATGAGGGTGTGACCTAGGGCTCTCCCCGCCAGTCCGGCCGCAATGAAGGATGCGGTGAGGGAGATTCTTGCAATGAGGGGGAGAAATATGGCTCGTGCAGGTCTTGGTCTAGGGTCTGGGTGAATAACAGCACTAGTCCAGTTACCGGTATACCCTAGGAACTCGCCAGCAGTTAGTAGAGTCAACCGGGGAACTAATGTGACAGGGAGACATAGTAGGTTATTAACAGAAGGATTAGGTAGGTTCTTAGATAAGGTTCCATTACACCAGAAGAATATGCCTGATGGAGCCCTTAAGGTGATATTAGGGGGCGTTGCAGTGATGCTGCAGAGGCTGGAATTGGTTCCTGAGAAACAGTAGGGAAACTTCTCCTGACTGGGGTTTAGGTATAGGGGCACGTTCAGGATAGGAGCATACGAGTGGTTTCGGAGGTTGTTAGCTTGGGCAAAGGTAGAGGGTCCCCATGGCAGAGGGACAGCTGTTAGCGGTGGACGCCCTAGAGTGGCGCACAGGAAGCAGCCAGACAGGCTATGAAGTCCTGTAAGGTTAGCAAGTTCTAGTCCTTCTTGTAATAACTTTAACCAGGAGAAAGGACGTAAGTCTTGTGTTAGTCTGTTTTCCTGTCGTTGGATATTCCCGTGGACCAGGGGCAGTACTTGCACTAGGCCTCGCCACAGATAGAGGTGACTGCTAGGCCATGTGGAGGAGGGGGAGTAGTATACAGCCCCATGTTGAGGTGTGGTCCAGCGGGAGTTCCAGGGGTCTCTAACTATCCATGTATATGGAAAGTCTCTATCCCGTCTACGATAGAAGGGCCATTTAGGGTCTAACTGTTTTCTCTCTCCCCAATAACGGGGTCTGTGGATGTTATAATAGTTATAAGGACAGCCAGCATTTTGGTGCCACCAATAGTGTTTACAATTGTATTTAGTCTGATCAAACTCAAAGCATATTATTGGTGTCATAGGTTTGGCTATTTGAAAACCAGTAAAATTTAGTAGAATTGGGCTGTTGCACCCTGAGGAAGGGCAATCAGCACTGGCCAATAATTTTCCGGGCTTATGAGGTTGCCCAGGGTGGGTTCGGTTTTCATAAAGCCAGAATCTCCAGACAAAGGGATTATGAGCTGGTTTTGTGATTTCTCTAGCGGCCACTAGGGCGACTAACATTAGGGTTAGACTATCTAACTGCATGTTTGCAGTGAGCTATGCTGCCGGCGCAGGGTGAGTTTTAAGGGGTTGTTCCTAGCTCTGTCCACAGTCCACGTGTCCGGTGCTTCAGCCGCCGCCGTGATTGGTCCCAGAAGATCAGAGGTTGGGTCCACTGGCTTGACGTGGGTGTAGTGGATCCACGATGCGATGCCTTCTACCTTCAGGGCGGTGGGTGTGGTTAGGAGTACCTGGAGTGGTCCTTTCCACCTGGGTTCTAGGGTCTCTTGTCGGTGTCGCTTGACCAGGACCCAGTCTCCCGGCTGGTACGGATGGGGTGTCGGCGGGGGACCGGTCTCATATAGTTCCTTCAGCTTGGGCCAGATTTCTTGATGAATTTTCTGCAAGGCTTGTAGGGAAAACAAGAGTTCAGAGACATTTTCTGTTTCGGACTTGAGCAGATCATCTTTTAGGCCGG